CCACGCCCCCACCCCCACCTCGCCCCAGGTGCGGCCAGCCGGCCCCAGCTTCGTATCCTCTCCGCCCTCCACCACCTGCTCCTCCTCCACCTCCACCTCCACCACCTCGGCCACGCCCGGTTCCTCGTCCACCTCCACCACGGCTGCTGGTGCTGGTTGTGGTGCTGGTTTGGGACCCCTCGGCCGCCGCTTCCTTGCCAGGGACCACACTGGCCGCCTGCCCCTCCTCGCGCTTCCGCTTGCCCGTGCCGCTTCTCCTCCGGGTGCCCTTTTTCATCATGGTCGCTGCCGGCAGGCGTAGTGCTGTGCCCGCCTCCCTAAAAATATGAAGTAGTGGTAGTAGTAGTGGTGGTACGACGACGACGACGACGACGAGGGGGAGGTGCTGGTGCGGCAATGGGGTGCCCGACGCGTCCAGGAATAGAATAATCTGCTTCTGACCCGGGGCTTTCGCCTCCTTCTTCTTTCGTTCCAAGGGAAATACGGCGTTTACCGTTTATTTTCTCTCTCGCTTTCCCTTTCTGCCGCCAGGTTTTGAGAGAGCACTTTTTCTTTTTCAAATAATAATAATAAAAAATGGTGGGCGTGTGCGCGGGTGGTCACGGGGCTTGGGCGGCGTCGCGCTCGCGCGGTGGTGATGGGTCTGGGTCGACGTGCGCCTCCTCCTCCTCCTCCTCCGGTGGTGGTGGTGGTGGTTGTGGTGGTGGTGGTGATAGGGAGAGAGTGGGGAGCCGTCGCTGCAGTGGTGGCGACGAGGAGCGAGGAGGCGAGGGAGGGTGGGCCCCGTTTTCCGAGGAGGAGGAGGAGGAGGGAGAGGAGGCTGCAGTGGGGAAGAGGACGAGTGGGGCAGCGGGGCCTCGCTCGGCGCGCTTGGGAGACGGAAGGGGGACGCGTACGGCGACGAATAGGGAGAGCACTGCGGCGGCGGCGACGGCGACGACGACGACGAATAGGACGACAGGCGCTTCTCCAGGTCCTATGACACGAGAAATGGGTTCAGCTCCTCGTCATGCGTGCACAGACAGGAGTCCGGGGCGCAGCAACCACAAACAAAGGACTCGCGAGGCGTTGGTGGGGTGGGTGGGTGGGGTGGGACGTGTATCGAGAGGAGGAGGTACCTTGACGAGATGGAGCATGTTGTTGACGAGGTGGAGGGGCGAGGAGCCGGGGAGGGACGGGGAGGTTGACGAGGGCGAGGGGCTGGCAAGCGAGTCGGAGACGCTTTTATGTCGTCTGGCGGGAGTGGAGGCGGCGCCGGGCGAAGAGGAGGGCTGCTTGGTAAGCACACACGCAGCGTTGGCGGCGGAATCACCGGACGCAGGGACCAGTGGAACAGCCGACCGTGGTGGTGGTGATGATGATGACCGAGAGAGGAAGTCGCTCGCGGCTGCTTCGCCACTGAAGTGGAAAGTCTCGTGGTCGGGCCCCAGTGGCTCCGACTGCTCCTGCGCATCGAGCGCCTGCAGCTGCCCGCCCCACGCGTTACCTCTTTGCCGCGGTAAAGGCATTGGCGAGTGGGGGTGGGAGTGGGAGCGGGTACCTGCAAGGTGAGCTTGCCGATTTGTTGCGCACGCACGGCCAGCTCCGACTTTTGCTCTGCACGCCCACCCACCAGGTGAGCAGGCATCACCCCCTGTAAACCAAGGGAACACAGGAGGAGGGCACGCACGACACACACACACACACACACGCCACACGATGCACACACGATGCACACGCACACAGGAGACAGATGGTGCGGGGGGGGGGTACCGCTGATCTCCTCTTTGAGTCGCTGGATGAGCTCCTCAGTGCGGGAACGGGCTTCCTCGAGCTCGCTCTGCAGACAGGCGTTCTCTTCGATTGCCTTGTCCAGCTTCTCTCCCAAATCCGCCACGGATGCCGACGACTCTCTGTCCAGAGACAGCGCACAAGACCCGATCCGACCCGCGCGCTTCAGAAAAACGTGTGCTCACCGCGAGCGGAGCAGGGTACATACCTCTCCCTGCGGCCGAGGTCGTCGTTGTCCTGCTCCAGCTGCCGCTTCTTGACGCCGATGACTTTCAACTCGCTGCGCAGCGTCTCGGTTTCCGCCTGGCGATCGCACGCGTCAGTGTGGCCCGTGTGGGTCCGGGCGACCTGGAGAGAAGGGTCGTCGGGGGCGCTGTAAGGAGGTGCGCACCTGTTGTCGCTCCAGTTGCTTCGCATACTCCTCGGTCACACGGGCATGCTTGGCCTACCCCCCCCCACCGCCAGCAGCACCACCACCACCAGCAGCCAAGCCTTCGAATGAGCTGCCATATAGCATTGTGTGTTTGTATGTGTGTGTGTGTTTCGCCTTTCTTCCTGCCGGCAGCTGCCATTTGGTTGGGGGGGGAGCGAGGGGCCTGCGTACGAGGAGGTCTTCGTGTTGCAGTTTGAGAAGCGAGAGGGCGCGTGAGGTTTCGTCGTTCTTCTTTTCCGAGCGCTGTAGGTCTCGCTCCATTTCTTGCTCCAGAGCCTTGCTCGACTCCATGAATTCGGCAAAGCTGGCTTCCACCTCTTCCATCTCTTCCCGTCTCTCCTCGGCCTTGCTGCGCCACTCTGCCACTTCGGCCTGCAACGCCGCACATCGTTCCCGCCAGTACTCTTCGCCGTGGGGTCCAGCGTGCCCCTCTGCCTCGGGTTCCATCATGAGCATCCTCCGCCCCCCGCCACTCTTTTGTGTGTGGCGACAATCGTGGTGTTCGAGAAAACCACCTTTTCCGTGGCGTATTCTTTTTCTTGGTCTGGGCTTGGCGCCAAAATCTTTTGCCACCGGCGCAACTACCAAACTGCAACCTGGAGCGGCCGAGGAGAGCCGGGAACACTTTTCTATTATTTATTATTTATTATTATTCTCCTATATTGGTTCTTCCAGCGGCGCTATGTTCTCGTCTACCCCAGCGCTTGCTTCGTTCGCCGCGGAGGACGACCTGGTGTTGCTGCTCGGGGCCGCTCCCTCTCCTCTCCGTCACGCCCCCAGGGTCCGTTACAACAGCGCGCGCCCCGGTGGGACAGAGCACCACCACCACCACCAACGTAGCTCGTACCACCACCACCACCATCAATGGGCGCCGCCGCCGCCGCAAGTGGCCCAGCAGCAGCAGCAGGCTGCGTGGTTCTCGTCTCCGGTGAAGGTTCGACGCCCGGCCCTTGGCCCGCTCCTCCGTCGATGTACCAGGACCACCGCCACTGGTGGTGGCGCGGCCACGAGTACGCCGCGCGGACCCCTCTTCGCCCTCCCGCTTGCTTTGACGGGAAGACGGCACGACGTCGGAGGCATCAGTTCTCCTCCCCTCCTCCGGCCAGACTCCGCGAGCGAGGAGGAGCAGCAGCAGCACAACGACGACGACGGCGACGACGGCGAGGACAAGGAAAATCGGGACCCGTCCTCTCTCCCCCGCCGCCGCCACGCTGCTGCGGCCGCACCTCCCGACCGGAAGGTTCCTCCTCCTCCTTCTCCGGCGGCGGCGGCGGCTGCCGTGGCATCATCGGTGGTGTCTGTGCTCGCCGCCGGCGGGGGAGAGGAGGGGCACCGGACGGAAGCACACATGGATGAGGACTACGACGACGACGACGATGACGAAGAGGACGACGAAGAGGAGTCCAAGCAAGAGGACGACGAGGTGGAGGGGCCGGCGTGGGCTCTGCCGCCCGAGGTGTGGGTTCTGGTGTTCCAGCAGCTGCCGGCCCGCGACGTGTGCGCTTGCCGCCTCACCTGCACCCGCTGGCACGGCCTCGCCTCCGGTACATCCCGCCTGCGACGCTCTCTCTCTCTCTCTCCCTCGCTGCTGCTGCCTATGCAATGGCACACGGCATTGCACTGCTGCTGGTCATCCCCCGCCCCCTCCCCCCGGGATCATCCGGCGATCTCGCATATGCATATGGCGATCTTCATCAGAGGCTGAACTAACACGGCGGCGGCGGCGGCAATTACAGACGGGGTCGTGTGGCGCCACCTGTACGGGCGGGATTGGGGCCACCATCACCACCACCACCACGGGCAGACGCAGCACAGTGCCGACGGTTGCCTGCCCGCGAAGGCCGGCCTGTGGCGGGAAGCCTACCTACAGCGGTGGGTGGAGTCGGCCGCCACGGCAGCGGCGGAGCTCCACGACGCGGCCAACGCCGCCACGACGGCGTTGGCGTCGGAGGCGGGGCCGGGCAGCAGCGCTGACGTGGAGCGGACGAGCGGGCCAAAGCGGCCGCGGTGCTATGGGGGACACCACAGGCGAGGCGAGGGCCCGATCCTCCTTGGTCGGCGTCGCCAGCCGGCAGGGCCATGGGAGGACGCCGATCACCACCGCCGCCAAGAAGAGGAGGAAAGGGGCAGGCCGCGCCCGGCCAAGCGCAGCAAACCGCAGCGGCGCAACCACGACGACGAGGAAGAGCAGCAGCAGCAGCAGCAGCAGCAGCAGCAGCAGCAGCAGGCCGAGTGGCGGGAGGCCATGCTGCGGGCCTACTTTGCCGCCATCGACCGGGAGAGCCTGACTGAGGCCGATGAGTAGGACTTCCGACGGATATTTTAAAAAATAGTGATAGAATGTCTCGTAGGCACCACCACGCGGACTCTAGGCCAGCAGCGCGAGCCAGACGGCCTCATGCACGTGGCCGGCATTTGAGTGGAGGAACTGCTCTCTCACTCCGATTTGTGGCGCCGGCGGCTCGCTCGAGGCGGGGAGACATCTTCCTCCTCCTCCTCTCGGGCCTTCTGCTGGGCGACCCAGGCGTCCATGTCGGCCCAGCGCTCGTACAACCACTCGATGCGGCCTTCTCTCGTCGCGGGCATGTCCTTCCACGCAAAGCGCCACAGCTTGGCGTGGATGGTTTTGTTGTGCAGCCCTGAACACCAACATCGGGGGGGGGTCGTGTGTGTGTCGTGTGTGTCGTGTGTCGTTGGAGACGAGAGAACAGCCTCCCATATGAGAGAACAATCCCCCCCTCCGTCTAACCATCCAACAGCCTCCCCCCCCTGCAGCGCGGCGCGATAGGTGCAGCAAGCAGCTGCTGCTGGCCAGGAGGGGGGGCACGTACCGCCGTTGGCCAGCTCGAAGAAGTCCCGCGCATGCTCGAAACCGGAGTGGGCGCAAAGCAGGATGTCGGCCCCCTGCATGGGGTTGGGTGGCGCCAGGCAGGTTCAGCAACGCGCAGTCGCGTGGGTGTGGGTGGGGCACCGACCTTGGCTTCGTTCTTCTCGAAAAGGGCGAGCACGCCGCCCAGCCGCGGGGGCAGCGTCCACTTGAGGGCTTCGGCCCTCCGCAGCAGCTCGCGCGCCACCTCAAGCGCCTTTCCGTCGTCATCGCCGCCTGCTTGCTTCTGCTGTTTCTCCAACTTTTCCACGTTGGCCTGGCCGCCGTTGTTGGTTGGTTGGTTGGTTGGTTGGTTGTGGTGGTCGGGGGGGAGCAGGAGCTTAGCCGGGCGGGGCAGATTGGGTGTCGGGTGTCGGGTGGGTGTACCCGCAGCTTGTGGAGGATGTGCTCCCGCTTGGACTTGCTGAAGCGGGTGCCCTCGGGCCAGATGCAGGTCATGATGTTGGGCCGCACGGTGGTGCCGTCCTCCGACTGCTCCGGGTGGGCGTCGTCGAGCAGGCTGGTGAGGGCCTTGAGCTCGTCCGCCATGCCGGCGCCCGCCTCGCGCTCCAGGAAGAGGTTGGGGGTCCGGCTGCCCATGACGTCCAGCCCGGCGTCCCACAGCAGCGATTTCTTGACCACGTAGCGCATCCTGAACCGATCGGAGAAGAGGTACTGCACGTGCGCACCACCGCCGCCGCCGCCGCCCCAGAAACGGGTCAGTGTCATGAGGACGATGGCTGCTGCTGCTGCTGCTGCTGCTGCTGCTGCTGCTGAAGTGATGATGATGTTGATGATGATGGCGGTCATGCTGGTGATGGGGAGTGATGGGTGAGGAGTGGTGGGTGCCTGGGGCAGGAGAGTGTCAGCGAAGCTGTTGTGGCGGATGAGGGTGAGGTAGGTGGCGCCGGGAGTGACGAGGTGTGCGCCGTCGAGGTGCTGGCGGCAGCCCAGGAGGCGGAGGGCGGCGGCGGTGAGGAGGTAGTGGCCCCACCAGTGCTGGTGGGTGTAGCACCACTGCCGCCAGCGCCGGCTCGCGGGACCCAGGCAGCCGAGGGCGAGGCCCGCCACGTAGCCGCCCAGCCCGAACACCCACACGGCCGCCATCTCCGCCGCGAGGTAGGCCACGAAGAACAGCAGCACGCGCGCCAGCGGCTGCTGCCGCCGATAGCGAGAGCCACGCGCGCTGTCGCAGGCCACGGCCACGGGCAGCAGCAGCAGGGCCAGCGGGACCGCCACCACGAACAGCACCGTGAACAGCGGGATCGTAATGGCACGCCGCCCCCACTTCTCGCCCCACTTGCCCCACTCCGACTGCCGCGCCGAGTTGTAGTTGCCTGCTCGCACCCACCCACCCAACGCACCCACCCACCCAAAGGGTCACCGACTCGGCCCCATCGCGCCCAACTCACCACGAGAGTGCTTCTGCTTGCCCTCCCCCACTACATGCTATTTGTACTTGACTCTCATAATCATAACAATAACAATAATAATAACAACAAAATGAGAGAGCGTCGGGTTTGGTGCCGGAAGCACTGGGGGGGGGGCAAAAGAGAAGACGGCAAAAAAGAAAGAAGGAAGGAAAGGGAGGAGCGTGTGTACCGTAGGGCCAGGCAGAACCGATGCGCGGCTCTTCGCTGTTGCCTACCACGCTGAAGCTCCACAGCCCCACCATGCCGACCGCTGCTCGCACTCCGCTGCTTCAGTTCCCCTCCGCCAACCTCCTGACCGCCGTGTGTCGACATGTCGACACTCATACTCCAGCACAAAAACAATATAAATTGTTTCTGCGAAAGCAGGTGGGAGGAAGAGCAAACAGGCCTTTTTTTTGTTCCATCCACAGCAGCTACGTAAAAATACAACAAGCCCCTTTCGCGGTAATGGAGGCACCCCACGAGGAGGAGGCCAAGAAGGTCCCCCCCAAGGACACCATGGAGGAGGAGCAAGAGGCGCAAGAAGCCGGCCAGCTGCTCAAAATCGACGCCAAGGGTCGACCCTTTGATGCGGCACTGTTTGGCGAGACGGTGGTCAAGGGCTTTGAGAAGATGTACAACAACCCACTGCTGAGCGACATCAGCCTGGTGGTGGGTCTGGAGAAGCTGCCGGCCCACCGCATGGTCCTCTGCGCGTGGAGTGACACCTTTCGCTCCATGCTCGAGAACAAGGACTGGGCCGAGTCCTCCCTGCACGACCTCCCCATCCACCTCGACGACCCCGAGGACCAGCTCCACTTTAAGAACATGCACGTGTCCCCACCTGCTCCCCTCCCCTGCTCCCTGCCCACGCGCACTTTCCTCACACACAGAGGACGATTTGCACCTTACCCCCCCCCCGCTAGTAAGACACAAGAACCACAGTATTCTACGAATACCAATACCAATACTACTACGATTAATAATAATAACAATAATACCAATACTACGAATAATATATGGCGCCCACGCGTGGCTTGCCTCCGCGCGGTGTCAACCACCGCCACCGCCACCAAAGGGGGGGGGAGTGACAGTGCCCAAGTTCTGGGCGCGCACGAACGAACGTGCCTTACGCATGTTGTTGGGCGGCTGGGCGGGGGTGCTTATGTTGTGTGCAGGCTGCGCTACATGTACACGGGCTCGATCGACTTTGTCTCGGGCGACAACATCATCCCGCTCATTCGCTTGTCGGACTACTACGGCATCCTTTCCCTCAAGGTGCGCGTGCGCCCCTCGCCTTCTCCTTCCCTGCGCGCACGTGTGCGCCAGGACCGCGGCTGTGTCCACAGCAGCCTTCTCCGCCGTGACCACGTGGCATGCACTTAACGCTGCCCGCCGCCGCCGCCACAGGAAATTTGCGGCGACCTGTTGGGCGAGCAGATCAACGAGGACAATCTCTTCTTCCTCCTCGACATCGTGGAGCAGTTCGATTGCAGGCGCCTCAATGCCCACTGCGGAGAGTTCCTCGCGGAGCACTTTGGCGACATGTGGACCGAGCTCCCCGAGCGCCTGATGGGCCTCAAGGTCGACACCTGGGCCGAGATGCTCAAGAGCAACGAGCTCCACATACGGTACTGGCATCCCATCCCCCCTCCCCCATCTCCCATCCCCATCTCCCCATCTCCCATCTCCCATCTCCCATCTCCCATCCCCCATCTCCCATCTCCCATCCCCCATCCCCCATCCCCCATCCCCCATCAAAAAAACCCCCATCCCCCATCCCCCATCCCCCATCCCCATCCCCCATCTCCCATCCCCCATCCCCCATCTCCCATCTCCCATCCCATGCATGTGCCCTCCCCCTCCTTCCTCTCTCTCTCTCTCTCTCGCTCGGCTGGCCTGGCCTGACCTCACCTTGGGGACCCTTGGGGGGGCTGCGCACACAGATCGGAGGAGGAGCTCTACGAGGCCGTCATCAGCTATGCCAATCAGGTACCCACGGGCGCGCGGAGCCCCCTCCCCCGTCTACTCCTTCCTGCCCTATCCACCCCTTGGGTGTGGTGTGGCACTCAAATGCAGATCTCCTAACATTTCTTCCTCTGTCCATCACACATCCCTCCTCCCTCCCCGCTCGTGCCCCGCCCCCAACGACGTTGAACCACACCTCCAGTTTAAGGCGGAGCCCCAAATGCGAGACAAGGCGCTCACCACGCTGCTCCCGCTCATCCGCTTCCCGTATCTTCGCCCTCGCTTCCTCGTGCAACAGGTGGAGACCGACAAGTCAGTCATGCACCTCCCCATCGTCCACAGCCTCCTCTACGAGGCCTACCGCTTCCGCATGTACCCCGCGGCGCACACCACCTTCCGCACCGAGGCCCGCAGAGGTACACCACACACGCGCGCGCGACACTACATACACAATCGTCAGCTGCACACACACACGCACACACACACCTCTCTCTCTCTCCACCGATGTCCTTCGCCCCAAGAGCCAACAGCGCGAGTCCTTGGCTCACTGCAACGCTGCTCTTCTCTTCTTTTTCCTCGGTGCAGGCTTCCAACGGTTTGACAGGGACCACTGCTCGTCGGCGATGCAGCTGAGCGACGACGAGCTGAAGGCCACGCTCTCCAATTCCTCCGGCTGGAACAACGTGCGCTGCGTATGTCCGTTGTCGCCCTCGTACAACTACGTCGAGTTCAAGGCGGACAACGGACCTAACATGATGATCGGCATCGTCGACGGTGATTGCGGCCGTAATGCCTACGCTGGCCAGTTCAGCAACGGGTACTGTGCCTCCTCGCCCTCTTCCCCCACCCCTCTCTCTTCTCTCTCTCTCTCTCTTCTCTCTTTCTCTCTCTTTTCTCGATGTACATGTAGAAATGCCGGGGATCGGGGAGGCGACTGACGGTGCACGTCGTACGATGCGGCACACAGGTGGACGTACTATTCGCAGGGCGGGCTGTACCATGCCGGCGGCACTCCGGCGACGGGCGCACGCTATTCGCCAGGAGACACGATCGGAGTGGAAGTGGATTTTGCGTCGAGCGACGGCAAGATCAACTTCTACCGCAACGGCCAGCTCTCGGTGAGCCTCACGGGCATCCCCAAGGAGAGCACCAACCTCTACCCGGTGGTGTGCTGCAGCGCCATGGGCGATGCGGTCTCCATCGTCGTGGGCGCCGTCTCTCCGGCCGACGAAAAGGCCGGCAAGAAGAGGTCCAGCTCAGCCGCCAAGAAAGCCCGCGCGGTCGCACCCGCGCCTGCTCACCCCGGCTACGATGACCCACACCCAGGCACGACACAACGCATGCCAAAACACAAACCAACCCGACCTTCACGCTTTCGTGCCCCCCCCCCCACATTTTGCCGTGCAGTGATCGCACGACTTTTTTAACCCCGTCACCGTCGTGGCGGTGTGTGCGTGGTGCAGATGACCTGGCGACGGACGACGGCGACTTCTAACGCGTTGACCCGGATCCAAGGCCAGGGCGTACCTGTGTGCGGACGGGGGAAAGAAAGAAGGAAAGAAAGCGTTCTCATTTTCCTATTTTTTTTAAAATGCAACCACTGCTTTTTCTTTTTCTTTTTTTCGAGGAGCTGTCACAGCTGAAGACCCACCGCTACGTGGTGGAGCCCAGTCACGCCCACAACAACGACGACGAGGAGGAAGGAGGTTGACCATGTTGTCATCTAAGCTTGAGGGGACTGCAGGCGAGGGAGGAGCACCAACGGCGGGGTGGACGGAGGTGCGGTGGCGGGTGAGGGCGCCCTCGGCGGGGGAGGGCCAGGTGGTGTGCGTGGTGGGGAGCAGCGAGGTGCTCGGGGCGTGGAACCACGACGCCGCTCTCGAGCTGGCGCGCGAGGAGGGCAAGCCCGACGCCTGGTGGGGCCGCGCTCGCCTGGCCCGCGGGGTCGAGTGCCGCTACAAATACTTCATACGGGAGGGGGCCGCCATCGCCAAGTGGGAGAGCTGGCGGGAGAACCGACGCCTGGTGCCCCTCGGCGTCGAGCTCTTCGTCGATGACGGCCGATTTGGCGTCGAGAAGACTTCCCCCTCTTCCTCTCCCTCGCCCTCCTCGCCCTCTCCCCCCAGCAGTAGCAGCAGCAGCAGCGACGTTTGGGAGGACCACGGCTGGCTCGTTTCCGACATCCAGGTGCGTGCCCCCCCCCCCAAATACCTTCCCGTGGGGTTCTTCTCTTCTCACCCCCCAATGGCCCAATGCCGCTCCTTCCACCACCTCCACCGCGCAGCTCCGTATCACGCTGGGGGCCAAGAGCTTGGAGCACCACTCCAAGCCGCGCACGCCTCCTGTGGAGCTGCGTGACTCACAACTGCGGCCCCACAAGCTGGTCTTCTCCTCCAAGGACGTACGTGCGGGGGAGAAATCGAGACAAGGCTTTGTCCCCGGCCGGGGCCAATGCCGCACTGCTAACGCTACCTGCCTGCGCCTCCACGTTGGTCGTGCAGCCGAACATCGTCGCCAAATCGGTCTTTCTTGACGACGACGCTCGCGATGAGCTCAAGGAGCACACCTTCCACACGGGAGGCTTCTCTTCTCTCCATCTCTACGTCGATTTCTTCGTGGCCGGCTCTACGTGCGTCACGCACGCACGCACGCATGCACAACACGCATTCTCTCCTTCCAAATATCCTGCGTGGCCTCTCAATGTGCGGCGATGCACGGGCGTTCTAACTTCACAAGGGGCTAAAATGGCGGGCATGTGAGTGCAGAACCAAGGTCGGTCGCGCCATCATCACGCCTGCGTTGTTGCGTGACTTGATCGGCACAGCCGCCATTCCCATCGTTTCTCCTGGTAACCACCACCACGCCACCACGCCACCACTCGCACGCTCTCGCTATGGGGACCAGGGCTGGCCGTGCGTATGTTCATGCCCGTGCTTGCGTGCAACGACGCGCTTCCTTGTCCCGCGTGCACAGAGCTGGAGGAGGTCGGCATATTCGCGTTCGAGTATCTCATTGTGAAGCCCTTTGAGCACGAGAACCTCAGCGACGTGTTGGCCCGCACCTACTGGAGTACGCGCCTGTTCACCTCCTCCTCCCCTCTTTGGCTGCCGCTTCGGGCCAGCCCTCTATGAAGGTGTCAAATGACAAGGGAGAGCGTAGAGCCGGTGCATGCGCTCCACCCCGCCTGACTTGTGTTCTGCTTCCCCACCTCCTTTGTCTGTACTCAGAGTCGACCAAGTTCGTGGACGTGGGTCACCGGGGCTGCGGCGCTAATCGAGCGGTGTCCAAGAGCGGCAAGAAGACCGTCGTCAGTACGCCTTCCTCTCTCTCTCTCTCTCTCTCGAGGTGTCTGTAGATCGAGACCTGCTCCTGCTCCTGCTGCAGCCTAGCGGAGAGAGAGAGAGAGAGAGAGAGAGAGAGAGAGGGATCTCATATGTTTGCCCTTTCCATGTGCCACCACGCCTTCCATGCACGTGACTTGTGGCGTGGGCGATGGCTTGGTCTGCGCAGGCGAGAACACGCTCCTTTCCTTCGTGCGGGCGGGCCAGCTGGGGCGAGGTGCTGTCGAATTCGATGTGCAGCTTTCCAAGGACGGCGTGCCGGTGGTGTGTGCCTCCTTTCTTCTTCTGTGGCGGCGACGGCGTGATGAGGCTCTTCGTCCAAGTGTGAATCGTGTCTCACGTGCTCGCTCGGCCAGATCTTTCACGACTTTCTCGTTCCGGTCGATGAGAGGGGCCACTACAAGGTGCCCGTGTACTCTCTCACACTCCAGAAGTTCAAGGAGCTGGCCAAGTGCAGGTTGCTTCCCCTCTCTCCACCGACGAGCAGCAGCAGCAGCAGTAGCATGAATGTCAAGAGGAGGAACTTAAGCTCTACGTGGTGCACCCTTGTGCTCTCTGCGCTTGTGCCGCGTCCAGCCACTCCTGGAGCAAAGATGCTTCGGGCGCCGTGCCCTACCCGGCTCGTAAGGGCGGACAGCACAGCAGCAGCAAGGCCAAACAGGTGGAGCCCAGCGAGGAACCGACTCTCTTCCCCTCGGCAGCAGAAAAGCACAAACTCATGCGGAAGAGGAACAGCCTCGGCCACGTCTACCATGAGGGAGACGAAAACAGGCCCCACACCCCTCTCCAGGGTACGTACGCCAATATTCTTATTTTGTTTTCTTCTTCTTCTTCTTCTCATTTTCTTATTCTATACAACGAGACACATACCCCCCAACCTACCCTCGAGAGGATCCGGCAAAGCTAACTCCCTCTCTGATGGTCCGATGTCTTTGTTGGGTATTACCATTACTATTATTATTATTATTATTATTTCTCTTTGGGTGCGCTGTTGGCAGATTCATTCGCCACGTTGGAAGAGGTGTTCGACATCGTGCCGCTTTCCACGGGCTTCAACATCGAAATCAAGTACCCCACCATCGAGCAACTCGCCAAGGGGAAAGTCGCCCTCTACCCCGAACGCAACCAGATCGTCGATGCTGTCCTCAAGGTGCCCCTCTCCCTCTCCCTCCCTGACAGCCTTCCGCACACCCTCACGCACATACACACCAGGTGGTGTTCGACCATGCCAAGCGCGATCGCTCGATTATCTACTTCAGCTCCTTTGATGCTGACGTGTGCACCATGCTCAGTCTCAAGCGTACAAGCCTGCTCTCTGCCGAACATTGCTGTCTCACGGTCATCCACCGCTCAACTGTGTCTCGTGGGTGTGGGTGGGTGTGGGTGGGTGTGCGCGCGTGCGTGTGCGTGTGCGTGTGTGTGTGTGTCGTGTATGTAGAGCCACGCTATCCAGTGTTCTTCTTGACGCAGGGAGGATCCAAGCTGTGCCTTGATCATCGGCGAAACTCCGTGCCGCAAGCCATCCGGTTTGCCAAGTCGGGTAGGTTCTCGGTGTGCTGCCCTTCCCCCTCTCCCGCCGCTGACAAGACCCTCCTCTCCGCTTGCCAGTCAACCTGCTGGGACTGGTGGTGGAGGTACAGCCACTGTTGAACGCTCCCGAACTCATTAAACTGGTCAAGTCTTCGGGCCTTCTTTTGGCCACATACGGCAGCCCCAAGTACGCGTCCCCCTTCTTTTCTTGCCAAGCAAAGCTTGCGACCCGGGCCAACGCAATCCGACAACGCACAACGCGACGTGCAGCAACGAGCAGGAGTACGTGCGGCTGCAGGAAGAAATGGGAGTCGATGCAGTCATCTCGGACCACCTCATTGTGCCGCGACACAAGGACGCCAGCGAGTGAGAGGTGTGGCTCGCGTGGCCGGCAGCGGTTCCGCCACTTTTCTTGCCCCCGAGGGCAATTACCGGGGGGGGGGCAATACAGGAGGCCGACGCCTTTCTTTTTCTTTTTGCCTTCTCTTTTGTTGTTGTTGTTCTCTCGTCGGCACCTCTCCGCGCAGCTCGGCAATTTGAATCCAGATCTCTCCCAAGATGCAAAGCAAGGATCACTCCATTCCCAAGATCGGGTCCATGGCGGAGGACAAGGTGGCGGCCGAAGTGGCCGAGTACGTGCGCTTCCACAACGACGACAAGGAGGACCGCACGGCCGAGCGCAAGGGCAAGTACGCGGCCATGGTCAACGCCTACTACAACCTGGCCACCGACTTTTATGAGTGGGGCTGGGGTCAGTCCTTCCACTTTGCCGTGCAGGCCTACACCGAGTCCTTCCAGACCTCCATCGTGCGCCACGAGCACTACCTCGCCCTCCGCCTCCGTACCTACCCACTCTCCCTCGCAGCTTTTTCTTCTTCTTCTTCTCCTTCGTTCTACTTCTTAATTCGAATTGGGCTGCCAATTGACGGCGGACGTGTCGTGCTTCGCGGCATTACTATTGGAATTGGGCCTCTCCACACTGGATGCAGAGTTGGAGAAGGGATGGCGGGTGCTTGACGTGGGTTGCGGAGTGGGTGGCCCTGCCCGCAACATCGCCCACTTCGCCAAGTGCAACGTGACGGGCCTCAACAACAACCAATACCAGGTGCTCCCCCCACCCACGCGATCACCACCATGGCGCCTGCGCCTGAGTGAGTGAGTGAGTGGTCACTGGCGCCCACCGCAAAACTCAGCGCGAGCGTATGGCGGGTGGCGGCGGCGGGTCTACGGTTGTGTGAGCAGGTGGACCGCGCCACGGCGCTCTCGACAAGGCAGGGCCTGAGGGACTCCACCAACTTCGTCAAGGGCGACTTCATGAAGCAGCCCTTCGAGGACAACACCTTCGATGCGGTCTACCAGATCGAGGCGACGGCTCATGCCCCCGACAAGGTGGGCTGCTACAAAGGTAGGCGGGCGTCCTCATGATGCGAACTTGGCAGCACGTGGCACACGACACACGGACGTGCCTGCAACCCCCCCCCCACTCCCCTCTGAGCATTCATCCTGCGGCAGAAATCTTCCGCGTGCTGAAGCCGGGCCAGCTGTTCGGCGGATACGAGTGGTGCCTCACCGACAAGTACGACCCCTCCAATCCTCAGCACCGTCAGATCAAAAAGGTACGTTTACACGTCATGCCACTCCATTCCGTCCACCGTCTTCTTTGCTTCCTCCATTGCCATTGCTATTGACATGGCACACTGCCATCCTCCGCCCACCACCCACCCACCACCAGGGAATTGAGGAGGGAGATGGCCTTCCCGATATCGCCACCTGCAACGAGGTGGTGGAGGCGCTTAAGGAGGCCGGCTTCGAAATCGTTGAGGCTTTCGACGCGTACCGTCCTCGCTGCCCTTGAGCTCTCTCTGTGTCGTGCCACGTGCCACGTGCCACGTGCGTGTGTCGTGTGTGTCGTGTGTCGTGTGTTCAATAAGTTGACCGCAAACGGGCCTCTGTGCATCATCGTCGTCACGCAGAGCACACTTGCACCGCCCCGATTTCGATTACCCGTGGTTCTACTACCTCACCCCGGGCTACAATCGTCCCTCTCGCTTCCAGGTACTATTATTATTATTATGCGCCAACGTCACGGCATTCACATTCGCGAAGGAGACCCCCACCCCGCTGCCATAACACGTATTCTATTTCTCTCTCACACACACACCTTCCCCATTTGGCGCCAGTTCACGCCCGCGGGCAAGTACCTTACCAAGAAGGTCCTTGGTCTCGCAGAGAAGCTGCACATCGTGCCCGCCGGCACCAACGGCGTTTCGGGTTTCCTGATGACCGGTACATGGCTCGCCCGTCTTTCTTTTGCGCCCGAGTTTTGGTTGGGGTTGGAAAGCTCACCCCAAACGACTCTGCTCGGGAAATGCCTGCAGCCGCGGAGGCCCTGTCGGCAGGAGGAGAGCAGGACCTGTTCACTCCTATGTTCTTCCACCTTGCGCGCAAGCCCTTGGACAACTGACGACAGCCTCACCAACCTGCCCACTGTTTTGTCCCCACGTCTTCGTCGCTGGGCCTTGCTTGTCAGACAACAGATTCCTCTTTTCGTCGGTCCGTGCGGCCCCTCACGGACTAGTGCTTTCTATGCTAATTATTGTCTTGATGCCCAGCAAGTATCACAACCGCACAGCACTGGCCTCGGAGTGTGGCGAGGGTACGTCAGTTACCGCGGGACGCTTTGATTTGGTTGCCTGCCACCGAGAGCACAGCTTCTTGTGTGCCTTTCCCTGCCATGAAATTATTAGTATTGTTTATTATTATTATTAGTGAGCGCACTTTGGCCAGTAAAGGAGGGAAGAGGGAGTACCAATGTCCGCTTCCACCCGCTCAAAGGCCGACAGGGATGCTGTCATGTTGGCGGACAAGAAATGGAGCTCCTCAGCTGAAAGCTGCACTCGCCGCCGCCAGCCTCGTTAGCTGACGCTCGTATCCTCGTTCAAGCCAATCGCTACCGGCAGCGCAAGGGGGGGGGGCTTGGTGGACGTGCACGCATGAATGACGCGAGGTAGGTACCGTTTCCCCAAGCTTCTTCAGGGCGGTCAGGATCTCGAGAGCTTGCTGCGTGTAGGCGTCTGATGACAACTTGCCCAGTTTCAGGTCCCTCTGTACGCGTACATGAACCACATCACAGCAAGCAAGGGCATGCGGGCGGCCACGCAACACGTCAACACCAGCCCTGCCAAAAGCGGTAAAAGGGGCGCGCGTGCCTTGAGTGCATCTAGCCGGCCACGGAGCTGACCGGGCTGCTTCTTGGCGAAAAGGCCAATGACCTCGGGCGTATGAAAGGCCTCGCTCACAGCTGCTTGGATGGCCTGAAAGAATGACGCCACGAGGTGCTCACGGCGTCAGTCACCACGCCCCGCCCCGCAGCCCGCCCGCAACTGCGAAAGAAGGAGGAGGAGGAGGAGGAGGCTAAAAACTGCTGGCCTGGGGAGGCAGCTGTTGTTGTAGAGGGCTCGTACCAGCTGTATGGAACCGAGATCATTGACGAGGGAGAGGTCACCAGCGGCAGTCTTGCGCAAGAAGGCCTGAAACTCGCGCATCTGCTGGAGAGTCTCTTCCTTGGTCTCGCGATACTCATCGGGCTCCATCTCTTCACGCAGCTCCTCCAAGTCCTGCAGCTGCGTGATAAGTCGATTGAGCTGGTCTTGAATGTTGGTGCGCAACTTGGCCGTTTCGTCCTTGCCCCGTGACGCCATCCTGTCCTGATCTCTCTCTGCTGATGATGCCGCAATAAAAATGTCTTATTGATTTCAATAATATAAACATGAGAAATGCAGCGGGAAAAGTTGCTACCCCACACCAAAGCCGGCACAAACAGGCAGGCAAGACCAGATCAAAATAACTCTCGATGGCGAGTAGCGTGGACCAAGTGTTTGAATTAATCACCAAGAACGTAGCAGCCGATCCGGGCCTTGTCAAAAGGGTGGGCGGTGTGTACCACTTTGACATCGATGGCAAGGTGTGGACCGTAGACCTGAAGAATGGCAACGGCAGCGTCAAGTCGGGCAAGGACGGCAAGGCTGATTGCACCATTACCATCAAGGGCGACGACTTCCTCAGCCTGGCTTCTGGTATGTACATTAAGGATATCTCTCGACCGTTCCTCTGGCGTTATGCATACGGCTCAATTTGTTGGTGTGTTGTGCGCAGGCAAGCTCAATGGCCAAACCGCGTTCATGCAGGGCAAGCTTAAGCTTGGCGGCAGCATCCTTTTACCCCCCCCCCTACACAACTCAGAACCCATCCTCTTTGGCACAGGCGTTTCTTCTTTCGTTGCTTCCTTAACGTGGGGAGACATGGGCTTGGCCATGAAACTTGGGCAACTCTTCGAAAACAAGAGTGGCGCTGCGCCTCAGCAGCAAGCCAGCAGCGGTGCCATCGAGGTCGCGTTCAACGAGATTCAGAAGAACATCTCTGCCGGTACCCGCCCTTCCGCCTATTATTCCCTTCTGTCTTGTTGACTTCATGACATCGCCATGTTGTCAGATCTGAGCCTTGTGAACAAGATCAATGGTGTCTATCAGTTTGACATCACCCTTGCGTCAGGCGACGTTCAAAAGTGGGCTGTTGACCTCAAGACTGGCACGTGTACCTCGCGTGATGCGTCTTGGGCAAAAAAGAGCTCATCGTTTTTTTTTCAACTTAGCTCCTGGCAGCGTGTCCAAGGGTGCGCCGCCCAAGGCTGATTGTACCCTCGCCCTCAAGGAGGAAGACTTTGTGTACGCTAACTCTCCTACACACACACACACACACTGCTGCGCCGGCCACTAACCACCACCTCCTGATTCTCCTCCAAAAGGAACATGCTCACTGGCAAAGCGGATGGCCAGAGCCTCTTCATGCAGGGCAAGCTCAAGATGACTGGCAGTACCTCTCCACAAACCTCGCCTCCTCTTGTTCTGTTCTGCGTCCCTTGCTGACATTGTTGCTCCTTACTGCAGACATGGGACTTGCCATGAAGCTTGGTCAAGTGGTGGCCAACAAGCAGCCTAAGCAAGCCAAGCTCTAAATCCCCAACGCCTTGCCTCCAAGCTCGTCATGGATGAGAGCTGAACGGAGAGAGCGCCTTCAAGACGTGCATAATAAAGGTTACCATGACTTTGTTAGGGCTTGCTCGCGAAGGCGGCGGAGTTTAGACTTGGAATTTCAAGTCACCGCCACACGAGAAAAATGATTACGAGCTGCTCTGTGAGCTCATGCGCTCGCAAAATAGTCAAAATGCGCCTCAGAGAACGGGCTTCAAGATGTGATGGGATTCAGCCCTCTAGGATGCCTCATTGGGCCGTAGTACGAGCTCTGCGTTTTTAAAGTCATTTTTTTTGCGGCCATCACCACACAAGCAAGATCGCCCTTTTTCTCGCTTGCTCTGTTAGCTCGTGGCATCGCGTTTCGTTCAGAATGCGCTCCAGAGGACGGGCTTCAAGATGTCATAGGACTCGGCCCTGTAGGATGCTTCATTGGGCTGCTAAGACGCAACCAACAGCACTCGATTTCTCGCTTGCTCTGTAAGCTCCTGACCTCGCGTTTCGTTCAAAATGCGTCCCAGAGAATGGGCTACCAGATGCGATAGGACTCATCCCTCTAGGATGCTCTCATGGGGGGGGGCTCTGTAAGCTCTCTTATTTTTGGCCCCAAAAAAATCAAGACATATGAAGAACTACTCCTCAGTCCCGTAGAGACTCTCCAGCTGCGAAAGGCGGAGGGCCGATCACTGACAACGCATCGTAGGGCTCTGAGTCGTGCGGCATCTTGTAGCCCGTGGTCTAGACCACGGTCTAACTTGGTCTGAAAAATTATTGGCAAGCTGCCAGCTACCAAGGCAAGCGAGCATACAGCCGCGCTTCGCTTGGAAATGAGCATTATCCGCGGATGTGGCCGACAGATGACAACCTCGCGCTGATGCCGCGACTACCCGCGGAGACTCAAGTGACAGGACCAACGTGTGGCACCAGGCCAGAGACGAGCAAGAGATCATCACTGCGGTTAATCTGATGGAAGTCGCGGACGGCGACTCATCTACATTGGCTGGGGATGCAACGACAACGCGTAAAATTAGTGGAACTTCACCGGCGGCATCCGCGGACAAGACTCAACTCCAAAAACTTCGTGGAGAGCTTGAATAAACCTAGCTGTACAGTCCTCACTCTGCTCACCCATGAAGGCCCAGTGCCTGCACTGCGATAGGCACCTTTGCCGTCTGTGTAGCTTTCAAAACAAGTGAGTTGTCCTGAATCTATAATTGGCTTCCCGGGCTCGTGAGCAACTTCTGACAAAATAAAATAGAGGAGAACTTGAATAAACCTAGCAGAACGACAAGCTGTTGTTGTTTGAGTGGCTACGAGTAGAAAACTAGTTCTACGAAGTAAACTAGTGCTTCGAGTTAACCTAGGGGGATGTAACGAAAACGCGTAACACTCGTTAAACGCGTTTAACTCGTTTAACTAGTAAAACACTGATTAAACTCGTTTAACGACCTGCCCACTCGTTGAACGTGTGGGCCACTCATGAAACGAGTGGAGAATGTGTGAAACGAGTAGCAAACGCGTGAAACGAGTAGAGCGTGTGAAACGAGTAAAAACCGCGTGGAACGAGTAAAACATGCGTAAATAACTAGTAAAACGAGTAAATAACGAGTTAAAGGAGTAAAAAAACGCGTAAAAAACGAGTAAAATGACCACAAACCACCGGTGGCAACACTGATTAAACGCGTTAAACTAGCTAAACGCGTTTAACGAGTGTTATGAGTTTTCGTTGCATTTCCCAAGGCGGACAGCGCACCATAGCGCCCTGAATCGTGCGGCATCTTGTAGCCCATGGTCTAATTGGTCTGGACAATGATTAGCGGGCTGCCAGCTACCAAGGCAAGCGAGAAAACCGATGCGCTTTGTTCGGTCGAGTGGTTCAAGGCTTCAGGGTGTGAGGAACAGCGCACCGTAGCGCCCTGAATCGTGCGGCATCTTGTAGCCCATGGTCTAATTAGTCTGGAAAATTATTGGCAGGCCGCGTACTGTCAAGGCAACTATAGTGCGCTCGCTTGTGTGCTGTCGAAAAAACTGCATGGCCAGTTTCCAAGTCAAAATTCCGGCGAGGCGCCTGGCGGCCAATGCGGCATCCTACAGGGCCGAGTCCTATCACATCTTGAAGCCCGTCCTCTGGAGCGCATTTTGAACGAAACGCAAGGCCACGAGCTAGCAGAGCAAGCGAGAAAAAGGGCGATCTTGCTTGTGTGGTGATGGCCGCAAAAAAAATGACTTTAAAAACGCAGAGCTCGTACGGTTACAAAGCAAGTGAGGAAAGGAGAAATCTTGCTTGTCTGGCTTACGGCTCTGTTTCATGGTACCACAATAGTCCCAACAATGCCGAAAATGGTCCCTAATAGTCCCCTAATAGTCCCCACATGATCCCCTTAATGATGGCAAAAATGGTCCCAAAATGGTTCCAAAATAGTCCCATTACAGTGGCAAAATGATCCCAAAACAGTCCCAAAACAGTCCCAAAACAATCCCAACATGATCCCAAAATGGTCCCAAAACAGTCTCAAAACAGTCCCAAAATGATCCCAAAATGATCCCAAAATGATCCCAATATGGTCCCAAAATGGTCCCAACATAGTCCCAAAATGATCCCAAAACAGTCCTGAAATGGTCCCAAAAAGGTCCCAAAACAGTCCCAAAATGATCCCAAAATGATCCCAAAATGATCCCAATATGGTCCCAAAATGGTCCCAACATAGTCCCAAAATGATCCCAAAACAGTCCTGAAATGGTCCCAAAAAAGGTCCCAAAACAATCCCAAAATGATCCCAAAATGATCCCAAAATGATCCCAATATGGTCCCAAAATGGTCCCAACATAGTCCCAAAATGATCCCAAAACAGTCCTGAAATGGTCCCAAAAAGGTCCCAAAACAGTCCCTTGCCAAACCACAGAACCAATGTGCTGGAAATGGCAGCTCTTCTCAACCTCCTTGCCAATGAGAATAGCCCCTGGCAGCTTCTGCATCTCATCTCAGGGAGCATAGCTTGGGATTTGCATGAGTGACCTGGAGATGTTTGATGCACTTGTGGAGGTCCTTCTGGTCAGATTTGGTCTTGTTGTGTGTTGTTGCTGGTTTGAAAGGTCAGGGATTTCCTCTTCCCTTTAGCCTTCGCTTTATGTTTCTCCTTTTCTAAAGCTTTCTCCTCTGTCTCCTTTCAAAGCCTCTCTTGCAACTCTGGGATAACATCAATGTCAATGTCTGGATTGCTGAGGATCAGAAGAAGTTCCTCCTTGTCACAGGTGATGTGATGATCCTAAGATGAGGAAAGCAAGCAATTAGATTAGCATATAATGACTGCAACTCATTGTTTCCATGTATGTGATAAAAATGATGGAGCATTAATTTGACGACAAATTTATTGTGTACATATATGCCTTAAAAGAACTATTGGCATACAAATTCTCAAGGTTGATGTTGCGGAACTTCTTCATGATGCCTGTGTAGTTGTGCAGATTTTCTTGTAGTTTCCTCTGTTCTGCCTTGTTGAGCTTCTCATGAATTGGTGTTTGAAAATGTGTAATTTTTTGTTGCATACACATACTTGAGGAAATGTACCATTGAGCTGATGAGCCAGTTGGTTTGCTTGCCTTGTGTAGTGGTCCAGAACTTGTTGGTGCACAGGGTGTTGCAGTGCTGGAAGTCCTCCCACTCATCCTTGTGAAGGCAGCCTTGTTGTGCATGTGGTTCTGGCCCCATGTGGACATGAATGTCATCTTCTGAGACCTTGTTCTGGATATGGAGAAATGGTATGAGTTGGAGCAGGGAATAAAAACGTACCTTAGATAGCAAAATGTACATTGGTCATACAACACCACTTGAAATAACACCTTGCAGTCTGAATGTGATGATTGTTGATGATGCAGTATTCAGGCATGCCATCTTTGAGGACAATGTCAAATGCAATCATTGATTGCCATCAATGATGCAGTACTCAGGCATCCCATCTTTGAGGATGCACTGAGAGGGAGGCAGCTCTTGAACAAGCAGATGCTCCATTGTCAGAACGCCAGTTTTGTCTGGTTCTTCTCCACCTCTGCCACACTTGTGAAGTAATTCTGAAGTGGAAGACACAAGAATCCATGAAATCACATTACTTTCATTAAACCAACTGCACTATTGATGTACCATGCACATGTTTTGAAGGTTGCTGAGGTTCTTCTTCTTGAGGTCACTCTCCTTCCACTTCTTCCACTCTGGTTGCTTGACCATCCACTTGGCAAGCTCAGAATGCTGCTTGTGGACTGGGTAAGGTTGTTGCTCATGTTGTTGTGTGTAGGAAGGTAGGTATGTCAAGTACATTCACAGCTTGATGATGTTCATGTTGCCCTGGATGATGGTTTGTGCTCTGATCTGACCTCTCCTTAAAGCATTGTCAACTCTGTTGTTGCCCAGGACAACTGGGCAATGAGTGATTGATCATCAACACTCCACCTGGGTGCCTTGATTGGAGCCACCTCTTTAAGTTTCCAAATTGGCCCAAGGCAACACCAGCAGGAGACAGCAGAGTGACCAGGACCCTTGCAGAAGGTACAGATGTTCAGGGATGAATGTCTCTGTCAGAGTTTTCTACTTCTACAAAACTCCTGAGTATCAAACCAACACCTGTGATAATCTTTTGTAGCATTGTTTCTTTTCTTTTTCTTATTCTTCTATCAATACAACGCACCTCCTCGTCTCTTGTCACAGCTATCCCTACTCATCAGGTTATGGGCCCACACTTCCCACAACAATGAGCACTACTCTTCCCATCTTAAAATCTTCTGAAGGATACACTCTCTGGTTTACCCAGATTTGAGTGTATCTGTGAGCAAAAGAACTCTGGTCACTCTGTGACCCCGGCGCAACCAAAACTCCACTGCCATCTTCTTCATCTTCGCCACCCTCAGCCTCAGATTTAAAGAAGGAAGGAAAGGAGAAGTTAGAAGAGTCTGATGTTCCACCACCTACTACCAACAGGAAAAGCAGCAAGGCCCTTGGGATAATCACCATGTCCCTGGGGCCAAACATCATTCACATCTTGGATGATTTCAACAACCCTCAAGAACTCATGATTGAACTTTGATGGCAATTCATGCCTAACCAGAAGTCAAGGCTTGCAGTGAAGACACGCAAGCTCACATCAATTCAGCTCAAGACCAGCAAAGAACTCACCAGTTACTTCGCCCACTTCAACTCCATCATCGCCAAGCTCAATTCAAACCCACAATTCACCATTCCCAAAGGGGTTCATGAGACTCTTCTACTCAAAGGGCTTTCACTGGACTACAAAACAGTTGCTACCGTCATTGGCATGACCAACAACACCAGCAACATCAGCACTCAGGGCATGCTCTGTCAACACAAATCTGAGCTACAAGCTAGGAAGCAGGCAAAGAAAGAGCAGGCCATTCTCTTCACTGCAGCACAGCAATCCATCCAGGCGCTGTTGTCATCTTCACTGCCAGTCGCCCCATCAAAGCCACATTGAGGCAATCATGGCAGTGGGGGACGTAATTGAAGTGCAAACAAGAATCCTGACCCACTACCAGAGAAGAACAGCGCTGACAAGCCAGCCACGCAGTGCAGCAAGTGCAGTGCCAATCATGGCCACAAACGCTGCCCCAAGAGCAAACGCACACTGGTCACCACTGAGGACCCTAGTCACAAGTACTTCACACTTACCACTACCACCAATAAACACTGGATCACCAACTCTGGAGCCTCCAGCAACTTCACCTACCAACACTCCACTCTCCATGACTTCATTGTGACTGACAGGATCAAGCATGTCTTTCTCAGCAACAACACACAGTGTCACATTCTCAGCAGTTGCTTAAGCCTGGCGAGGTCATCCACTCTGATCTCTCTGGTTGCTTCAGTGTTTCCACAAGGGGCAGTGCTGAGTATTATGTGACCTTCATCAATGAGGCCACTTGACACGCCTCTGTGTACCTCCTTGAGCGCAAGAGTGAGGCCATTGAGGCCTTCAAGGCCTACTTGGCCACGTCACCTCATGCCACCCAGTGCCACTCTCTGGTTATGGACCAGGGAGGTGAGTATCTTTCTAAGAGATTCTGCAAGCTGCTCAACAAGCATGGCATATTGCATGACACCATGGCCTCTCACTCTCCTGAGCTGAATGGCATCTCCAAGCACTTCAACCTGACTATCATGGTCATGGTGTGTGCTCTTCTTGCCAACAGCCACCTTCTGTGTTTCATGTGGGATGAAGCCCTATGTGTGGTGATGCATATATGCAACTGTCTTCCCACCTGCTCTAAGGGTGATTGAACGCCACATGAACTGTGGACTGGTGTCCCTCCAACATATGAGCACCTTCATCTATTTGGCTGCTGGGCTCATGTCCTTTGTCCTGCCAGCCTTTGCACCAAGCTGGACAATCACTCTCTACCAGCCATCTACCTTGGCCCAGCTCACAACAATGCACACCACCATCATCTGTGGATCCCAGACACTGACTCCATCATCAAATCCCATGATGTTGTCTTCATGGAGATGTAGCTCAAGCCCCTTGCCCACCATCCGCACAAGACCACCAGCAAAAGGACTTCCAGGGGCACATGAAAGATCAATTTCAGAAACTCCTCACAGACAACACAATTCCCACACTCATTGCTGACGATGACCACAACAATGACAACAAGGATGATCCTATCATTGGTCTTGAAGACCAGGCTCTGGATCTTGGGACACATGGCGACTACAACATTGTCCATGACACCGACTGGACGCCCAACAACCCCAATGAACAGAGCATTCTTCAAACTTGTCAGCCCATTCCTTGTTGAGTGAAAAAGCCCATCTCATACACCAGCTCTGCCAAGGAGTGTAAGCATGCATTCATGATCTCTGTCAATGGTTCACCCACCATAATCACCCCCAAGTCCTTCAAGGACACAATGAACCTACCCCACCAGGCAAACTGGCTTCAGGCCGCTGAAGAAGAGTTCCAGTCAATCATCCAAAACAAGACATTCGACTGGTTCCAGGTCAGAAGGCAATCAAGGCCAGGTGGGTCTTTCAACTCAAGACCCTCACTGACAGCACCCCAGAGCGCTTCAAGGCACACTGGGTGGCAAAGGGGTTCTCACAGATCCCATACATTGATTTCAATGAGACTTTTGCTCCTGTAGTCCAGCTTGAGAACTTCCAGCTCATGCTCACAATCACCAATGCATGGAACCTTGAGATCCATCAAATGGATGTTGAATCAGCCTTTCTTCAGGCCCTGATCACTGAAGAGATCTATGTTGAACAACTGGAGGGTTTCCATTCAAAAGAACATCCAAACTATGTCTGCCAGCTTCAAAAAAGTCTCTACAGGATCAAACAAGTGCCATTCAAGTGGAATAGGGAGTTGGATACTCACCTACTAGCCAACCACTTCAAACCAACTGGACCCCTGCATCTACATGCGCAAACACGACAGTCAGCTCACATTCAGCACTGTCTATGTCAACGACTTCACTATTCTCTCAAGGCCAGAACAACTTGCTGACATTAAGTGCATGCTCTCTGACAAGTTTCAGTGCAAGGATCTCAGTGAAGTGTGATCTGTTCTTGGCTACGAAATCCTCTGGGACTGTGAAGCTGGAACTCTCAATCTTTGTCAATGGGGGCAAATAGACAAGTATCTCTTGGCCTTCTACCTAACAGACTGCAAGTCCATCAGAACGCCCATGGTCACTGGTCTCCATCTACCATGGCCAGAAGAGACATCAGCAGAGGGACTCAAGTTGCTGTATCACCACCTCATTGCCCAACTCCTCTATCTGGGCCAAGTCATGTGACCTGACATCCTCTTTGCAGCCCATTACCTCTCCAGTTTTGTTAATGGCTACACCATCAAGCACTGGACTGCCGCCAAGCATGTTCTCTGATACCTTCATGGCACATGCAACTACGTCATTCACTATAACTGTGACAACATTGAGCCTTCTGCAAGTGACCTTCTCCTGACCTACCACACTGATGTGGACTGGGCTGGAGATGTCCATGACTGACACTCCACTTTGGCCTACCTCGTCACATTCACAAGGGGGCCAATTGCATGGTCTTGTGTGAAGCAAGGATCAATAGCAACGTCAACTACTGAAGCTGAACTCAATGCTATCCACTACTGCATCAACCAATTTCTCTACATGTGAAAGATCTTTGATGCCATCAAATTCCAATCAAATGTGACACTGGTCATCTACAATGACAACCAGTTGGCCCTGGCAATTATCAAATCCAGCCAAACCAACTTCCACAGCATGAAGAAACACTACAACATCAAGTTGAAACGAATGATTGAGATCTTCAAGTCCAGTGTACTCCAAATCAACTACATGCCCAGCAACATCATGGTCACCAACATGCTCACCAAGGCACTAGGCCCCATGAAGCTACTTGATTTGCTATGATGATCCAGCCTCGTTATCCCAGACTCAGTCTAAGGGGGTGTTGGAGTTTTCAACTTCTATGAAACTCCTGAGTATCAAACTGTCACCTGTGATAATCTTTTGTAGCATTGTTTCTTTTCTTTTTCTTATTCTTCTATCAATACAATGCACCTCCTCATCTCTTGTCACAGCTATCCCTACTCATCAGTCTCACCTTGATGTGGGGTTTCCCTTGTTGGGCGGTTGGGTACCTGAGTTGGAGAGAAAGGCAGTGTCCTGCTGGCTGGGATTACATGGATACTCTTTGAACTGGAAGTACCTCCACTGACACTACAGCTTGGGCCAGCACATGGATAGCCTCTCTATGGATGGGTCCCTATTCCTTCCTCAACCTCTGTCCCTCTGACTATCCCCTTCCTCTTCTCCCAGCTCAGCTCAATACCACCATCCTCAATCATACTCTGCCCTCACTGAGCTCAACAATGCCCAGGCCATGAAGAAATCCTACCAGGATCTTGTCTCTCTCTCTTCAATAGACCACCCAGAGCAGCTCACCAGTGACCCATTTGGCTGGGTTTATTGGTACAAACATGCTCAGAATTATCTTCTCTCTGCCCTGGAGCCATTGGATCAGCCCATCAATGCTTCCATCAGTCTCACTGGAAGTGCTA